GATTCTACTCTTCCAGAACAACAACTGACAGCAACGCTAATCACTTTGGCTCTCAAAAATGAATGAATGGTATCGCCCGTTTACTGACAAACATTACTCACAAAAAATGTAACAGAGATTTTCTTAAATGTTTTTTCCAAAATTGAAGCCTGCAAATGATTGAACTTTTTCGCTTTTGTAATTTGGCCATTTCAATGAGACGAGAGCTCGTCGAAAACTGAAATCTGTAATTTAGTTCAACTGTTTGTTAACACATATAATCAAAAATTGCCCATTAAATAAATCATACAAAAAAGCAGCGGAAAACATCATATACTCAACCAAGATAACGGTAGATGAATGAACTACAAAAACACTTCGAGTGAAACTTCTCAAATAACTAGATAAGGACGAGTTGCAATTCTTCCAGTTGGACTGTCTTTGGTAGACTCGACCGCCAAAACATACACTAACCTTGATGCTGTCAAAGTCCGACTTTGGAGCCAACTGCAAAAATACTAGGTCTTGAACAAAACGACTTTGCCTAAATGTCGGTTGGGGGATATCACATCACGAGAGAGATCACTTGCGCTCAAAACTTGTCAGTACAAACCCATTCATTGCAATTGCAGTCTTTTAAAACATTTGTGGTAGACATCATTGCCCTTTCATTGCCTAGAATGATCCCAGTGGTCACAACATATCCGAACAATTTTTGCCGATCTCACGAGCATTGAGGACACATTACATTTCCGAACAATAGAGAAGGATTCCGTTGCTCTGCAAATTGGCATCAATAAAGTCACATATATTCAAAAAAACGAGGAGAAATGGATCTAGAAACAAAAAACATACAATTTGATGTTAAAAAACTTCCAGCTGGGCTTTTGTTGAAAAGCATACTCTAAACCCAACAAGAAGTCAAATACAAAACTGGCCTTTTTTATCAACTTTCTCACTTGGTCAATATATAGTTTTAAAAATTCTGAGCGGGATCAAAATAGACAATTACGCAAATAGTTTACCGAAGATAATTTTGTCTAACAACGAATAAAGAGCCATGGCAGTATTGAAAGACGCCACAAAACTTGTGTAAAGACACTGTGAATTAGAATTGAAATCGAAAGAAGATGCTTCACGCCAGGATTGTTCACTAGCAGAAAAACAACTAAGAATTGTCAAAAAAAACATTCACAAGCACGATTCACAAGCACATTCACAAGCACTTATAAAACTAGCGAAAAAGACTTGAGCAAAAGATATATTGTTAATGTCAACTCAACGCTCCACACTGCCACCAGTCGTCACAACATATCCGAACAGTTTTTGACGATCTCACGAGCACTTAAGACCCATTACATTTCCAAACATTAGATATGATTCACAGTTGCTTTGAAAATTGGAATAAAAAATCACCTATATTCAACACAACGAGTTGGAAACGGATCTAGAAATGAAATACCCACAATTTGAAGTTAAAGCACGTCTTTTGCTGAAGATCATACCATAAACTCAACAAGAAGTCAAATATTAAACTGGCCTTTTTATATCAACGTTCTCACCTGGAGGATAAATAGTTCAAAAAAAGTTCCATATCTTTGTCTACCAACGAATGATGAGCCATGACAATATTTAGAGACACCACCAAACTTATTTAAAGACTTTATGAATTAGACTTGAAATCGAAAGAAGACGTTTCACTGACATGATTGTTCAGTAGCAGAATAAAAGCTAGGAGTTGTCAAAAAATAATAATTCACAAGCACGAAAATCAGAAAAAAAGTATTACAAAACTACCGGAAAAAACTTGAGCAAAAGATATATTGATCAAGTTAACTCAACGCTCCACACTGCCACCAATATATGGTATCTGTCTCATCGTTCGAAAAAAAACGAATACAAACGGCAAAGTTTGCCGAGTATGCAACGCTTTTAGTTTCTTTGACTTTTCCTTGAAATCTAACCTTATCACCAGGCCTGATCTTTTGAACAATCTTACTGGTGTCAAAATCCGCTTCAGGAAAAACATCGGCAACCTTTCTGCAGACGTAGTTGCTATGTTTATGCAAAACACGGTTGATTCTAAAGTTGGACCGTTCCTCCGGTACCTGTGGTTTGACAAAGGAAAAAATGAGACCTACCAAAATACGAGTCAGCTCTTTGGGGCTGCAGGCTCCCATCTAAGAAAGTGTGTGGATAAAGGAAAGTGCGTGGAAAATATTATTAACATCTACGCCACAAAAAGCTCATCTGATTATGTTGGCTATTGTTAACGAGTGTTTAACCTTGAATAATGGGAGGCAAAACCGACGAGTCGTACCAAGAATTTTTTTGTATCATCGTTACTTGCGGACCCGGAGAGCCGCAAACCACAGCAGCAACGTGTTCTTGGTTTCTCCAAGGGCTCCATTTATGGACACTGTAAAAACCAGTTGGTACAAAAGGTTCAAATAGGAAAAGTACTTAAAACTTTGTCAATTTCAAGATTCGCTGAACGGTAAATCACATTTTTGAATCACGTCATAATCCCCTAAAATTCTTTTAAAAAGCGGAAACAAGATCTAGTTTTCTCAGTTTAGTCAACAAATTCGTCAACACCGTTTCGGCAAAGTTTCTGACACGTAAAGCACCAGTAGCGCCCTTAAAGCCTGTCAAGACACCTAACTTGGAGCTGTAAACGTCTGTCTACGGAGCGCAAATAGTTCATTTTATCCTTGAAAAGCAGACCACAAAATTTGCTATTAATAAGTTTGGTCGGCCATATTAATTGTCCTGTACTGGCTGAGGACGCCTTAAAATTGATGCGAATTGTTCGTTGCGAGAAATCTAGCAAAATTTGTGCCTGAGTTTGTCTAGCAAAGACATTTGCACCCCTCATCATTGGAAAAATGTCATTTCAAAATCCGACCAATTATGCTAATGGAATTTATTACACTTCAACGCGCGTGTTGAAGGGACCACGTTTTTCGGAAGGACCAAAACTTTCAGCTTGAACAAGACCAGCTCAATGAAGATGATGCCTGCTTAAAAAATTTGATGTTTAAAGCTGTCACACGCTCAAACCGTTCAGGTTTAGCAACTGTAACACGTTCGTTAGGTCGGTTGCCTTCTTTCGGCCAGACCTCTCATCTACAATTAGCTCATCATGCAAAAGCTCACCTTTCTTGAAAAAAATCTGCCAAAAAATTGATTTCACGGTAAAATACGCTTAAAAAATTACGAAAAAAAAGTTTCTCATCATTTAGATAACAAGCATTGTGCCTTTAAATTGACATAACGACCGCATTTGTACTCGTGGTCGGTTATTGAAATCGTCATCCTTGATAACCTCAAAGTATCCCATGATTTAACATAGATTAAAAACTCACATAATCAGGAGTTATTCTGGAATTCAAGCAATTCGTTGCATTTTTATTGGAAAATTAACTGCATCATCCGCTGTTGTCCCACTGTGAAGCAGACTTTATCCTAAAAAACTTGCAAATCTTGTTGTTAATTGCTGTGGAAATTTTCTCTAAGCTTATGCAGAACTCCCAAAAGAGCGATTGCCGACAGCAAATCATTATCCTACTGGACTAGACAGTTTTACACTATTGGACTGGACTCCATCCTACTTTTCTCGTTTTACGACAAAAGAATCGATACTCGCATCGATATATACTTCTTTAAACCTGTTTGTTTGTACGCGCGATACACTCAAAAGTCTCACCTGTTTGTCGTCCGACAGCGCAATGCATTGTATCATACCTCTCGTATGCCAGCGGAGGATACGGACAAAGTATTTATCGGACTGAGGGATATTTCTGGATGAATCGGTCACAATCTCAATGTAGCCGAAAAAAGCGCAAATCCATGCTCAACAGTCTCGAAATCGTTTCCTTTGTGTCTACTTTCAAAAAATCAAACACGGAGTAATCGATGATAGTATTTGACAGTCGATGATACACGCCATAAAGATTACACGCCACGAGTTCCATGGCATCCCGCTAAAGATCCCAGCCAGTGACGATTTACTCAGATCGGAGACGCTCTAGACAGCTCAATGAAAGTACGGCCGGTAAATAAACTGTCTAAAGTCTTTCCTTAAGATTGATTCATCACTCAACACCTTTTCCCAACCTAAATTAACGCGGTATCTGTATTCGCCCAAAAACAATTTATTTATTTCGTTTGTTTTCTTTTACATTTTTTGCACAAAATGTTTTTTTTCTACTTACTGCTTGATTTTTTATAATTTTTGAATTTCTACTTGTTTTTCAGTCCCTGAACCAGATGCTACAAAATTGTTTGACTGAAAAAAGCGCGGTTCCACGAACTTTTGTTATTGTGATGTGATTTCCGTTTACAAAATGAATGAAAATGAGCAATGGAGCAGGAGGTCAACAATTTTCTTCAATTTTGGTTAACTTTTTGTTGGGAAATTAACCTCAAAAAGTTTTTGGATTCATTGAAAAGTCATGCTTTCAACCAGCCTTAAGAAATTCTGAAATAAATCTAATTCTTCGTATATAATTTCAGTTGAGCTCTTCATCGAGAATCAAAGGACATACGACTCAAGAAAAAAAAACAGAAGAGTTTGATTCAAAAGTGATTTGAAAAAATAAAGAAAGAAGGATAGAAGATAAAATAATAGAAATCCACGATGATGAACTTTAAAAAAATAATGAAACTATGCAAATAGACAAAAATGGTACAAATGATAAAGTTTGATTTGAAAAAAGGAAAACTGAACTTGAAACAACTCATTGCCGCATTATTTGATGAAATTCGACAATGGTGTCTTAATCTTTTTAACTCAAAATTCGGAAAAGTATGCCCCTGAATATCTTGTTTTACTCACATTATTATGAGTTTGATTGTATAAAAAATTTTCAAGGCTTCGCATGCGTGAAACTCTGTATCGACTTAACTGCTTGCAAAACTTGTCACTACTTGTTCGTTTCGTCATTGCCCCATAACTTACCCAGTTCGTCATGTTTAAATTTGATACAATTATCTAATAACGTTAAACTTGAAGTTTGCTCACTTCAAATGACCGGTTCTTTTATTGTGTTCATTCACTTAATGAAAGCGTTTGAAACCATCGTATGACTTTCTGTCTCAATATTTACAAATAAATGAACGATCTCCCGCCAAATTTTGAAAAGTGATTTTTATTTTTTGCTCATCATGACCGACCATGCTTCGGCCTCAACCAAATTGACAATTGATAACAGCGGCGGTGTTGAGTCATGGATTTCACAACTTGAGAAGTGCAAATTGCTGTCAATATACGACCTTTCGAGTTTGTGCAGTTCAGCTAAACAGGTTCTGATTCAAGAGCCGACTTTGAAACATGTAAGCAGTCCTGTTACGGTTTGTGGCGACATCCACGGTCAACAGCCTGATTTGAAAGAATTGTTCCAGATAGCTGGAAATATTCCGGATACTAACTTTCTGTTCATGGGTGATTATGTAGACAGAGGTTTCTACTCTATAGAAACAGTCTGTTGGTTGCTAGCCCTTAAGATCCGTTATCCTTGTCGGGTTACTATTCTACGCGGCAACCATGAATGTCGAAACGTCACACAAGTGTATGGATTCTATGATGAATGTCTAAATAAGTACACAAGCATGGGAAGCAAAGTTTGGTCTCTGTTGACAGATGTTTTCGATTATCTTCCTCTCTTGGCCGTGATAGATAACGATATCATTTGCATGCATGGAGGTCTATCGCCTAGCTTACCGCATCTGAACAGTCTGAATACCATCGATAGGTTCCAGGAAACTCCTCACGAGGGTCCCATGGCCGACATCATGTGGTCAGATCCGGAGGAGATTACCGGATGGGGCTTGTCGGGCAGAGGTTGTGGATACCTTTGGGGCAGAGACATTACCTCTAATTTTGTCCACTCGAACCAGCTCAAATTCGTTTGCCGAGCGCACCAGTTAGTGATGGACGGTTACACGTGGTGTCATGATAAACAAGTATTGACTGTTTTTAGTGCTCCCAATTATTGCTACAGATGCGGCAACCAGGCAGCTTTTATGAATGTACACAGCACAGATGAACTCCAACTGCTCCAATTTGACGCCGTCTCAAGGCCAAATGCGTCCGAAGACAACACTCGTCGCCCTGACTATTTCCTATGAAACCCATAAAATGCAAACATCCTTATGACAACAATTCGAATTTGATACGACTCTCTAGTCCTAGTTCAAATAACACTTCTGAATTCAAATAATTTCCTTTCAATGTACAAAAAAGCAACTCAGCCTACTTGATATAATTAGTTCGCCTACAAAGTTCGCAACGAAAGAATTGGTTGTGATAATTCTTCCCTTCATAAACGGCTATGCTCTAATATTTGTAGTACAAAAATACAGCCTTAGGGCACGGCAATGTTTTGGAATGTCGATAATTTTTATATATTTTTTGATTTTTCCCGAAAACTGTCTCCCAACTCTGGGATTAAGAGTTAATAAAAAAGCAGGTTGTGGAAATCTCTCCTGCAGGAGAGGCTCAACCCTATTTTTTTTTTAAAAAAATGATCGCCTTAAAAAGTCAATTTTGACAACTTCTTAGTTTTTGTTCAATTTCCGTTTTTCTTGAAAACTCTTTTCACAAGTCTAGGATTGAGGTTGTATTCATAAAAAGGAATCTTCTGTGAACAAGAAGATTCCTTTTTATGGGAATCTTGTGTGAATAAACGTTTACTCTTAAATTTGGTAGAAAACTTGCTATGGCTTTGAGAACAGTCCAGTTTTTGACACTTGAATAATTTGTGTGAAAAGTTTTCTTTTTTCAAACGAATTAGATTGTCGGCGTCGTTAGCGTACAGCCATGTTTCAAAGTTTCAGTCTAATTTTGTATGGAACCTCACATGCTCTTTTGTCCTCTCCTTGGTCTTCCATTTGCCTTCTCTCTTACTAGTCGCTTCGTGTTTCTTTCATAAGCAAAGTAAGCAAGACAGTGGGTAACAGTGTATATAAACTAGAACATCCTACAGAAGATCATTCAATCACTATTTTAAAATGTTTCACAGAGGTACAACTTTGCTCACAGCTGAAACGCACAACTTTTAAAATTTACTTCCAATGATTACGTTAACGACAATTCAAAATCAATTCAATTGACAGTGAATTCAGCTCCAAAAATGCCAGGTTGATTTTCAGCTTTAATAACCAAGTTGCAATTAACGAGTTCTAACTGACGAGGTGTAGCTAATACTTGAGTTGGTTTTTCGAGTTTTTCGGGAATAAGCTTATGAAACAGTAGCCGCAACAGTTTGAACTAACATCTTGTTAAATATGGAAAAAAACTGCTTCTCATACTGTAGAAGGCAACATAACAAGGTGTGATTTTATAACAATACAGGATAAAATCTTAACGAAAAAAAATTCATCGCAACTAGGACCAATTTGTTTCGCCAGACATTTCTGAGTAAACATATTCAAACTGTTTGATATACTCGATAAAGCCATTCCTTGAAGATAAGTACCAGAGAACTGCTTGGACTGCTGTGTAAAGTGTTTTTTCCAGAAAGCCAATGAAGGTGACGTGAGACAAATATTTGACTGTGCTGAATAACACATACATTTATTGCGTCTCCCACAAGACGTACTCAAACTCAATAACGGATAACTTTTTACTCTTCGACAGCAGTTGCCTCTTTTTTTTTTAAAAAATATTAGAATTTGAAAAACTTCAACACATCTTAACAAACTATAGCGGTCATTGTTCCGACCATTTGAAAAATGTGGAAGATATTCGTATTCGGGTGCATTTTAGCTTATTTTTGTTTCCACGCAAAATCAGGAACTACAAATTATATCGGAATGGGTCGAGTGATATATCATATTAAAGATTTTTCTGTCGTAACGTTCGCTATATTAAAATATTGGCAATTTAGAATAATAAAACTTGTTTTTGCAAAATAAAAAAAATTTGGAAGCTTTTTTAAGCGCTTTCCTGGCAAAAAAATAAAACAAATTTAGAGTTTGCAGTGCAAAAAATTTCTGAAAACTTTCAGATTTTACTACGAGGCCAAACTATGCACTGGATAGGAGCACAATTTTGTGTCTCTATGTTCCTGGATTCCAGAGACAAGTCTTAAAATATGTTTCAAAACGTAAGTGGATTCCACAAACAAAATTTCAGTGGATTCCGCATATATATACCTGTAACGTAAATTTTGTCGGCACATTTGTTTTGTTGCGGATTCCACAACAAGCAAATATAGCTAGTTGTTCTGGATTCCACTTACAGTTTGCGGATTCCACTTACAATTTGCGGATTCCACTTACAGTTGCGGATTCCGCAACAGCTCAATTTAACGATACAAATGTTTTATCATTTGCTTGTGGATTCCACAAACTGTTCTGGATTCCGCAAATACAGTTACGAATTCCGCAAATTCGCCTAGTTTTGGAGCGATTTTCAGCGGTACAATGATTTAGGTGTTTGTTTGTGGAATCTAAAACAGCATAGAAGATCAAAGAAAAGTAGCAATGTTGCGGATTCCGAGACAAATCTGATTTTGGCCTGTTGCGGATTCCGCTTACAATGCAGAGAATGCACAGTTTGGCCTCGTAATGTTTTTCTTTCATGTTTTTTTCTTATTCAGTTTTTTGAAGAAAGTTGTAGTATTCTATTTCAAATTCGCTAACTTTATACGCTTTTTGTATAGTTCTATAATCACACCACGCAGAAGAAACGTTGCAAACTTGAAGATCAAAAACGTTTTTTGTTCGTACTTTTTCACTAATGTGATCGGAACAATATGTGCTACTTGTACAGCAACCGGCTATTGCTCATACTATATTGTCACCCTAACACTATTTGGGCTTATCAAAAATTGTGAAGACAAAACTATCTCGAGCAAAAGTATCCCGTCACCTTTTAAAAGATGAAACAGTTTTTTTGAAGACGAAACAAGTAGAGTTTGCCTGAATGATCTATAGAAATGATTTAGCCTAACAAAGCCAGCAAATAACATTGTTTGATCCTAAAACAGAAAAGAACGTCAGTTTTTTCAAAAGGATGACGTAATTTTTCTGTTCAATAATCATAATGTTAAGTTTTTTTAATAATTCTCAGCAAATTAAATGCAATAAAATAAAATAAAAAGAAACAAGACTGCTCGTGTCAGGGCGAAGCCCTCTGAATGTTCCGACTGCCTTTTAATGTTTATGAAGCAGTAATAACCTTTAAAAAGATTAAATGTAACAAAATTAAATGAAATTTTTTTTTCTAAAATTCGAAATTTTTTATGAAAATCATCCCCCCACACGCCATATAAAGTACAAAAGGATAGATTTCGCTTCTTGTAACAAATCAATTATTGCAAATAAGCTTCTTTCACTCAAGTTGGAACAATTTCTAAGACGGATTAAATCTCCGCTTACGCGTTAATAGCGCGAAGTATATCGCGCGTTAATTGTCCCAAATTGGCCAAAATGGCAATCTTTAAACCCCCGTAACTTTACGAAAACTGGTCGAAGGTGAAATATGTTTTCAAATTTAAGCTCAGGACAACATTACCTTTCGAATGATATAAAAAAAAATTCCGCCGAAAATGGCTAGTTAAAAAGTCGAAATTCGTCTGAAGAAAAAACCCACCCCGAGCACAAATATTCCGTTACTTTCGTATCGAAAGTCGGAACAAAAATATCCGTCATGTTCAATTAAAAAAAAGAAAACAATCATTTTAATAACTGAACCGTTAGGTTTTTTGCGAGGATAAAAAAAGTTTGTGAAATTACTTTATAGTGATATATGACATCAACAAATTTTCTCTAGTTTGATCACAAACGACCAAAACAAACACCAGCATTTTTGTGCACAGAAAAACTTGTATCGAAAAATAAGCATAAACTCATCTTTAAAAAAAAGTTCTTTACTGGCTTTTCTCATGCAGAGCTCAATTCCATGCACGCTCATAAACTTGCCGTCCTGCCCATAAACACCACGGGCGACCTCGAAAAAACTTACTACTGGTTGAATTTAATATGCAACTCGTAGGTAAATTAATCCGTTAACAATTTCCATTGGAACTTGGTTGCTCTTAATATAGGCTTTTCTCTCTTTTTTTCACAACCCAGTCCAAAAATAGCTTCTGGAGAAACCTTAATGGTCTTTTTTGGCAAAACGAAACTATTTCGTCGATTAATTGTAGAACTTTGAGTAGCCATTTTTTAATGATGGCAAAATACTCACTCTCTAACTTCGTCCGATGTTGGGAGCTAATTTTTGCCCTAATTGTAGATAAAACTGTTCATTTTGTCTTTTATAAGTCCCAGAAAACGGTTCGTTTTGTGTCGTATCAGTTCTTATTGTTCCGACTTTCGATACGAAAGTAACGGAATATTTGTGCTCGGAGTGGGTTTTTTTTCTTCAGACAAATTTCGACTTTTTCACTAGCCATTTTTGACGGAATTTTTTTACATCATTCGAAAGCCATTGTTGTCCTGAACTTAAATTTGAAAAGATATTTCACCTGTGATCAGTTTTCGTAAAATTATGAGGGTTAAAGGATTGCCATTTTAGCCATTTTGACCAATTTGGGACAATTAACGCGCGATATAATTCGCGCTATTAACGCGTAAGCGGAGATTTAATCCGTCTTATAAATCGTTCCAAATTGGTTGAACGAAGCTTATTTGCCATAATTGATTTGTTACAAGGAACGAAATCTATCTTTTTGTACTTTATATGGCGTGTGGGGGATGATTTTCATAAAAATTTTCAAATTTTGGAGAAAAAAAAATTTCATTTTAAATTATTTCGTTTTTTTAATGTTATTACTGCTGCTACATAAACCTTAAAAGGCAGTCGGAACACTCAGGGCTTTGCCCTGATAGGAGCAGTCTTGTCTGAATTTCAAATCGGCTGAATTGTCTTTGGCCGAATTGTCTGGACGGGGATTTATTACAAGGAACGAAATCTATCTTTTTGTACTTAATATGGCGTGTGGGGGGATGATTTTCATTAAATAATTCAAATTTTCGTAAAAAAAGTTTTCATTTTGTTTTATTTAATTTAAATTTCTTATATTATTACTGCTGCTCCATAAACGTTAAAAGGCAGTCGGAACATTCAGGGCTTCGCCCTGATACGAGTAGTCTTGTTAGTTACATTTGGTGACAGTTTACACTGCTGCAAAATAAATTTGAGAAAAGATGCAGTTTACTTAACAAAAAAATCGTACGTGGAGTAAGCTTCTGGAAAGTCACGATTCTATATAGGTTACTTTTGGTGACTGTTACTTTTTGGGAGAAATATTGCATATGCAATTACTGGTTTCACATATGCATTGA